CTCTAAAGAAAAATGCTGATGGAATGTATTGCAAAACATATATTTTTTAAGCTCTATGATAATGTGTGCAGTAAAATTACTTTTGTCCACATATCAAATATCCATAATATATATTTTAACGATATTTTGAGTATTTTGACGAACTTATACTGAACTTAAATAACGAAAATCTTAAATCAAAATAGTGAATCCGAATTTTTGTTAAAAAAAATCTTTTTTTTGTCATCTCATCATAAAGGGCAACGTACAATGGATCATTAAAAAAAAAAAAATCCAAACACTCTAATATTTAGATCCAATCCCAAAATTTTTATATCTTTTCCAGCTCTAGCTGAATATTAATTTGCCAACAGTTAAATGCGATGAATGTCGAACTAACGGAATAAAAAATGAGTGAAAATAAAAAGACTAGAGATCTAAGATTAATGTGTCCGAAAATCATTAGCTTTCACTCAAAATCCTATTTTCGAGCAACAAAAGAATAATTCGTTCCTCTAATACAAATCCAAAGTCAAAAACCACGTACGTAAGAAGCCTTTATGTCCTGGTCAAACGATTAACCAACACGTGGTTGCAAGATTCTCGAACCAATCCTCGTGTCCTCGACACGTGGAGGCACCCAAGCACGTCCTTTTGATTATAAATAGCAAACCTAAAACTCCAATAATTTACATCATCTCAGAACACAAACAACCAATCAAAGCATCAAATTAAAGTTCAAAACAAAAAAACCACAAAAGAGATAAAATGTCAGACAAGCAAAACCTAAGCTACCAAGCCGGTCAAGCCACTGGCCAAACTAAGGTCTACACTATGATCTTTTGTTATACATTCGATGATTCGAATTCATTATTTGTGTTTTTTTTGTTCATTCGAATTATATGTAAATGCATACGGATTAAAATGTTTTTTTCTTTCTATAAATGAGTTTTATTAATCTATAAATAAAATTTGGCAAAATGTAGTTGGATATTGATGAATGTGTTGATATGTGCGAGTATAGGAGAAGGCAAGTGGGATGATGGACAAGGCCAAAGATGCTGCTGCTTCAGCTCAAGACTCCATGCAACAGGTATACAATTTGATGTTTCAATTTCTGATTTTATTTTATTTTCGTTTCTAAAAGAATAATAATATGAAAAAAGTAAAACAAAATATGTATATATACGGTCCTAAGC